CTTGTGATCCATACACGGAAAAAAAAAAAAAAAGGATTCATATATAACTGCACCTTCACCCACTTCTCTGCGGTTCTGGGTGCGACTGGTCTTATGATGAACATTGTAGATGATTAGTTTTGAGGAGTAGAGAGTAGTCTGGTCCTAGTACTTCTTTGTTGTTAGTATCTCCTAAGAACCCAAGGCTAGGACCAGGGGCAGAGAAGGGCAGGGAATAACCCCCTACCAGAGGCTGAGCTTCTCACCTTCCCTCTCTAAGCCAGAGGACCCCTGCCTCCAAACTGCCCCTTCCTCACAGCTCTGGGATCCTGTGAGTCTGGCCCACCAGGTACACTCCCCAGGCAAGGTGGGAATCTCAGCCAGGTTCCTGCAGCCAGAACCCAAGATCCAACTCCCAGTTTCCCCAATCCTTAGGTCCCTGGCCTCCTACTGGCACAGGGAGAATGCTGTACAGCTGAACAGAGCCTGGGGGCTCCCCCCCAGCTACACATGGTCTGGCAGCCCTTGGGCCCCTCTTGGCTTTAAGGAGTTGAATGACCTAGGGTGGAGCCTAGGCTCCCCTTGGGTGAGTCAGAATCCCTCAGTGTCCTCTTGAAACTGGAGGGAAGAGTCCTAGCAGGAGATGGTCACTGCTGGAGGGATGATGTTAAGGCTCAGAGAATGTGACAGACTCAGACCAAGGTGCTTTGGAGAGGGGCTCAGGGGAGTAGGGGCTTACAGAACTCAGGGCTGGGCCACCGGGCAGCAACCCATCCTTCTACTCCAACCCCAGCTTTCAAGATGGGTAATTTCCTTCTAGTGGAAAAATATTGCAGGGTTGTGAGGGGCTGGTGCTTATGGTGAAAATCTTGCAGGGAACAAAGAGGGAGGGGCCCTTGGGCCTTCTGTCCTTCAAGGGCCAGGCCCTCGTCTCGAATCTGTAGATGTGCTGCTGATTCTCTAGGAGATCAAATCATATCACTGCTTTCTGAACCTCACTTTCCTCGAGTAGAAAAGGGGAACAATGAAACATTAGATATAATACAAATGCAATGCATAGGGCATAGTTGTTATTAAAGGAATTCCCTGATGTAGGCATATTGGAGTTGGAGAGACTGGGGATTTGGGACAAACAGTGCAATGCAACTGTATCTTATTCATTAAAGTATTTCCTGGGGAACTGAACGGTTTTGAGTGCCGATTCTGGCATCAAGACCTCTAGATACCATTATCGTATCTCCTACTTCCTAGGTGGGCACACCCTTCACCTCTCGGAGCGCTGTCTCCTCTTCTGTTAAGTGGGAATCGTAATAATACCTCCTCTGGAAGGTTGGTGTTGGGATGTGAAACTGGGTTTGGGTTTGGATGCTGGCTGGGCCTTTGATGCTTGATCCGGGGGTCAGTTTATCCTGAGAAGAGCTGGATTTTAGTGTGTGAGTGTGCGTGTGTGTGCGCGACCCTCAACCTCTGGACCAACATGGGACCATCTCTCGGTCTGGGACACATGCTTGTTCTCTGCTTATCCTCAGCAGAAGATTGTGAAGTTCAGACTCTGAGTGTGCCAGGCTCCTCTCTGCCCCCCGCCCATCCCAGTAGTGGGTGCTACCTACATCCTTTGTCCGTATCTCCCATCACCTCCCTCCGGTTAATCCGAGACCCCATATCAAGCTATTTTTAGCTACCCCTAGTTTGTACCTCGACCTCCCAGACCCTCTGACCCTGAATCTCCTCCTCTTCATCCTCCTGAGGCCTCTTCCCCCAAAGTCTTGCCCTCTGGGATTGTCAGCTGTTCCTCATGGAAGGTTAAAGACTCATAGCAGGCTGAACGTGCCTCCCTCAAATGGTGAACAGTTAAAAAGTGTGACTTAGTGGAAGGAGAGAGACCGCCCCTGAGCTGTGCACCCTTGGGCAAAGTGCCTTTCCCGCCCAGTCACTCGTTTTCCCTCTGAGTTCAAATTCACTGAGGGCAGGGGCCCAGCTGTCCTGCGGAAAAAGGCCTGGTGATGTGTACCGTGTCTGCATTTCCACGTGTGCATTTATTGTTATTGCTCAGTATAGTGTTGAAAAGGCAGACAAATCCCATTAATTACAAAGAGCACAAGCCAGAGATACAGAGAAATAAGGTGTACAATAAGAGCACAGTCACTTCCCAGCCCCGATTGTCCCAGAGCCCCCCAGAGCCCGGGCAGCTTGTGGAAGCTGGAGGCGGCACCATTTCCTCGCTACTCTGTTATAAAATATGTGCACACAAGAGTTAGCAAAGTGTGGCAACCAACCCCCCCGAGAGGAAAGGTCCGGAGGGAGAGCACCACAGGCATTACAAAACAGACTTGGGGGCTGAGAAGGGCGGTCCCACGGCAGCCTTAAATACCTTGTTTTTGGTGGAGGGGGTGATGGCTGATGCCCAGGGCCAGGGATCCCCCTCCCACCACATGGGTGAATAAGACCTTTCCATCAAAATCAGGAGCGCTTGCTCTGAAACTTGGGAAAGACCTGGGTTTTTTTTCTGCTGTTGTTTGATTTAGGCCTTGGGTCTGGAAGACCCAAAAGCCTTCAGAGAAATGCAACCTGCCCCCCACCCCCGACCCCATCTCCTAATGGTGGGATCTCAGACACTAAGGAGAGAATTTTGGGTGGGAGGCATGTCACAGTGCATGTGGTTGACAGCCTCCTGTAGATAGAATGAGAATGAGTTGGGGGGGGGGCATCAGGGTGGTGAGAAAGTCCAGGCAAGAAATGGCTGCATCCCAAAGGACCTATCACACAACAGCTGCAAACTCTGACTAAACAGCGGGAGATGACCCCCTACCCCTAAAAATAGCTCAGGCAAGGGAGACAGGATTAAATGCTGCTCCACGAGGAGAACTAGCAACTGGGCCATACATTTTCTTAGCGCCAGGTCTGGGAGAGACCTCTCTTTCTTGCCTGGACCCGGGCAGATGGAGGGTCCAGCCTGCCACAGCCGAGGTGGGTAATTTTGGGTCCCATACTGAGACTGGGTGGGGGGTGGCGGTGGCCTCTCTGATGACAGCCTGGCTCAGGGGACAGTTGAGTTGATGGGAGGAATATCAGGCTCCCCTCAAGATTCAGGACGCCCCTTCTGTCTCTCCTTAGAGGACACTCTATTTAGTGATCTGTGTAGACACTGCTTACAATGGCCAGAAGATGGTTGCACCCAGAATGACAGGGCCCAATATTTGAGATGAGAGCAGGGCAGGGGGGTGGAGGACTTGGAAAAATTTTAAGTTAACTTGGAAGAACAGATGTGGGAGAATAACTGGGAGATTTGGTTAAAAAATAAAAAAAAAAGGAAGAAAGAAAAAGAGCAAAGGGTATGTATCCCATCACATAATAAAACAATTATATAAAAGTGACAATGATGAAACTATATGGCTGGTGCCAGATGAAATGCCCAGATAAGGGAACAGAGGAGAAATTCCAGAAATAGACCTGAGTCTCTCAAAGCTGTCAGGATGTAGTAAAGGGGAATTTCAGCATGGTTGGAGAAAAGCAGGTCTTCAATAACTGGGATACCCAGGCTGAGGCAGGTCCAGAGTCCTTGCCCCAGCGCGGTCACAGCCATTGCTCTGGTCTCAGAAGCAGGGGCCCCTCCTTCCTGTCCCTTGTTGGGACCAGGGGGCAAAGAGGCCACGGTGGGGGAGCTGGTGGGAGCAACCGAGGCTGCTTCTGAGTTAGGGAAGGAAACTTTCCTCCCTGTCCACCTCCAAAGATGGGTGGAGTTATTGAATGCGCCTCCTGCTCTTCCCTCTTCTGTTCTGAGGGGGAGACAGACTGGTGAGCTTAGACCTCAGAACCGAGCCTGCTCCCTTCTCCTGGAGCCCTTGTCTAGAGGGCAGACCAGAAGCTAAGGGGATGGTGCAGTCCCAAACCAGGGAAAAGTATACATTATGGAGTATCAAGTTCCTATGTTCTATCTGATGTTGGTTTTTGCTTTTTCGAAACCACACATTTCAGAACCACACTGCGGGAGTAAGAAGAGTCAGCCACTGAAAGCATAACCATTGCATAGTAGTAAATGAACAGAGATGGTGAGTTCTTTATTTACAGTTATCGTCTAGATAAAAAAATTCATAAAAACAGATGAATGGTCATAAATTATCTACCCCCTACTGGGGTGAACTGCCAAACGTACCCCATGCTGCTAGATATAGGACGCAGAGTGCAAGCTGTATGTACTACAGTGAGTGCTGACAAACCACTCATTTCCTGTGTGTGTGGACGTCTGTGTGCATGTGTGAGGGTGAGGGTGTGTGTGTGTACGTGTGTGAGCATCCAGCACTCCTGACCAGAGAAGGCCAACACGGACGTCGGGCGTTCTCGGTAGCTTCTGTCGCTCCCCATCCTCCTGAGCTGAGCCCCGCTCAGGGAGACCCCTCCCGGCTTCCTGGCGTCCTTGCATCCTGGCTCCAAATGAACAGGGAGCATCATGTGCAAGTGGAGCTCTCCTGGTGTCATGGGATGAGGTCATGGACACAAGGCTGGAAGAAAGGGGGAGATGGAAAACCGCAAAAGAGGAAACTACAAAAACCACCATGTGCCAAGGCTGCCCCGTGTTTGACATGAACTGATCTTTTCTTTCTTGCAGGAGAGCAGTGGGTGGTATTGGTGGTGTCGGTACTGGAATCCAAGAAACGTATCTGAGGGCTGGTCACCCCTCGGGGGATGCCGTTTCCTCTGATGGGTACATACATTCAGAGATATTTCTTCACGACATTCAGGAGATGCTCTTGCGCAAAGAAGGTCCTCCTTCCAGGAAGGTTTTGCCAGGTAGAATGGGCTGACTTGGAATCCCAAACCCTCGGGTTTCTCCACAGCCGTCCAGACGCAGACCCTCCCAGGTGACTATGGCTCTTTTCCCAAGTGGCTCTCATCTTGTGTGTGGAAGAATTCTCTGGGCCTGCAGAAGGGAAGGGCCCGGGCTGACCCAGCAACTGTGGAAAGGAGGAGAATGAAGAATGCATTTCGCAAGCGAGGTGGGAAGTGTTTGGTTTTCCTTGAAGCATGGGACATCATTGATCATGGTATTCAAAATGTCTTTTGCACTGTACAAGTTTATGGAAAAAGATCGTATGCTGAAAAGTCTCAAAGCAAACTTTGTATTAAATACAAAAGTTCTTTTATGAAAAAAGCTGATACCCACAAAGTGCTGAGCAGTTAAGAGGCTGACATACAATTAAATAAGCTCTTACTAAGTGGGGTTACTAGTGCTGTTATTGTCTTGGGGGAAGATAACCACCTTTTCTCACCTGTGATACTGCAGGGTTTCAGAATGGCTTTCTGTCTGGGAAAGCAAGACTTGCTGTTAAAAGGCTACAGTATATATTGCGACTACAGGAAGACAATTTGGTTTAAAAAAATCACACTGAATACATCTCAATATACACATCATAAGGTTAGTACGGATCTAAATAGTGCAGAGAAAAAGGCTGTTCTTCAAACATAAAAATAAAAGCAGCACGCCAGAATGAACCTCATCCCCTATGCCCACAGCTCATACGCTGCAATTCATAAGGAAATAAGCCCCTAAATTACTAACTGAAAAAGAAAATGAACACAATAGCATTTATAATATTGCAACACTACCTCAATCTCTGTACCGGCAGTGCCAGAGAGAACCTCTTTGTGAAATGCTCTTAGTAAACTCAAGTGAGTTTCATTGAGAGAAAAGTCTTCACCCCGGGCTTTGCGGACCCCGTCGTCCTGGGGCCGGGCTGGCTGTTAGTGCTTGGAACCCGGAAGCCTTCTCTCCTCCTCTCCCTTTGTCTACAGAGCATGCTGTTGGACCCCTCATGGATGGATACTCGCTGACATCTGGCTTCTGCCTGAGCCTCCCGCGGTAGTGACGTTATCGAACGGAAAGAGCAGGCAAAAATCAGAGCATGGCTATCATAAAACATCAAGGATGCAATCCAGGGAGGTGTCTGTCGGGCTGAGCTGTGTTTTCTAGCATCTCAGCCACCAGTGTCCTTAAACCGTACAAATAGCCAAAGACGCTATCTACAGGTTTGTAAACAAATTACATTCTTCTTTTAGGACATAAATAAGTTAAAATAGAGCAATTTAAGCGGAAACAAGGCAACATGCCGGCAAAGAAACTTTATATATCCATGTATATATATTTATATATATATATATATCTCTACCTATCTATATGGACGTATACAGTCTTGGAGAAGTATACGTTGATATAGATACAAAGAAATGGATATAACCTTGTGAGTGTCTGAAGTTCTTCGGTTCCATTGGTGCAAATTGACTAGGCGAGTTAAGCTCTGCAATTTCAAAAAGTTGTTAAATTAACCTATACAACTGAGACCATGCTGCGCAAGCATTTCAAAAACTCACAGACCAGTGGATTGGATAGATAGTCTCAGAAAAGAGTCTGTTTGCAGTTCCCGCCTAAGAAAACAAACAAACAAACAAAAACCACCCCTCCCCACCCCCCCCAAAAACAAACAAGGGGAGGACCGGAAGTGTGCGGTACATTCATGCAGGGGACTGGCGCTGGCGGGTGCGTGGCTGGTCCGGGTCGGGCGGAGCCAGGACGGGCTTGTTCTGGGGAAACCGCTCACTCCCTTAAGCGCCCCACCCCCCACCCAGGAGGAGATCCCGCCCTTGCCTCAAAGTGAAAAAGAGTTCAAACAGCATCGCAGCCAGAAAAAGGGTCTGTTGGGTGGAAACGGTTTTCTCGCCAGTTATTTGGTTTCCGTGTTGCTCGCTGCTGCGTGGGTGAGTCGGGGGCCTGGGTGGGCGGGGCCCGGGGGGGGCGGCGGCGGGGGCCTCAGCTAAAGCGACGTCTCCAGGCTGTGGATGGGGCTCCCTGGACTTGAAGAGGTAGCTGATTTGCTTGTGTCGGTCGTCAGGTTGATCCCGCTGTCGATGGCGCTGTTGTTCTTGTTGAGCGAGGACGGCGGGCTGGAGTTCTGCTTGAGCGCGGCATCCTCTTCCAGGTCGGTGTCGTCAATGAGGGGGATGTGGGGCTGGGAATCTTCGATCCGGAATTCAGGATGAGCCATGAAATTATGGATGGAGGTTCGAGACTCAGGCTTTTCTAGACCTTCATAGAGAGAGCTACGGAACGCCTTCACGACGCGGATCTGCAAGGGAAGGGCAGGGGTGAGCAGCACTGCCCTTCTGGGGGGCCGGCAGCCAAGCGCTGGGGGGCTCAGAGCGGGTGGGAGAGGGGTTAGGACACAGCAGGTGGCTGGAATCCACAGTCGCTGGGTGTTAGGAGCATGGACAGGAGAGGGAAAGATGGAAAAGGGGGCTCAGGTTATGCGCATCCGTGAGGTTTTTAAAATTGCTTAGGTTTGGGTCAGAACTACAGTATTAGGACAGGAGGAAGGAAGCCCCATCAGAGAGACGATGGGAAACAGTGGTTAGAGTAAGCTTAGTTCACTCCAGCGGGCACCCAGACCTAGTGAGAAAGTGAGCCTTGTTAACTTTAAAGCAGAAGTTCAACCATGCACAAAGGGAGGGGGGCTGGGGGGGAATAAAGTAGGGAGGAGAGGTTATTGGTAAAAAATTCATCTTAAGAAACCACACACAGTTAAGAAACCACACAACATGGAACAGATAACGAACGTGTTACAAACAAAAAAGGACACCCAGGAGAGACAGTTGGATGAGCCAGGATGAGAGAAGACACACGAGGGCCAGACAGAGAGGGGGAACATCAAACCAAAGCGGCAAAGCAAACCAAAGCCAACTCGGGGCTTTCTGGGGTGCAGAGCAGAGGCGGCCAGAAAGCACGAAGGAGCCGGCAGCTGATGACATTCGGGGGCGGGAGCATGCTACGGGGGTTGGGTGGGGGTGGGGGTGTGGGAACCACACGGCACACACAGACAGACACACGGCTACACTTGGAAGCCTGGACGATGTGAATGGAGGTCGCTTGTACCCAACGTTTCTTCCCTTCATGCATTTGGGAGGTAAACACTCGAGTATAGACTCAAAGCCCTGGCCAGTCATTGGAGTTGGCTTTGGGGTCCCTTATTTCCTGGGGTATTGTCTTTCTTTCTTTGTGCTTTGAAAACACAAAACCAAAAAAAAAAAAAAATATGAGGCCAGAATCAGATGGCCAAACCCAGCCCCTGGGTAGGATTCTAAGGGGGTATGGAAATGAGCCACAAAGCAGCCAGTTCTTTGATTTTCTGTGTCTCAGTTAGAAACTGGGTTCCCTGAAGAATGGAAAGCTGTTGGACACTGAGGCTTCTAGGCTAGTGGACAGAGAGCCCTGGAGCTGAAGTCAGGAAGACCTGCATCTGAGTCCTGGCTCTGCCACTTCTGGTGCCTTGACTGTGGGCCAGCCACACCACCTGGCTGCCGTCCCCTGTCCCACCTCACAGGGTGTGGAGGGACAGGACCCTCACTTTGAAGAGCGGTGTCCCTTCTCTGGACTCCTGGTAAGGGGAGCTATGCCTGCCAGCTCAGGGGGCCAATGGGACTGGGGACAAATGCGCCTCCTCCTCTCTTACCAGCCCCAACTGAGAGCAGAGCCAGCGGCAGGGAAAACAAGGCAGCATCAATTGATGCCTCCAAGGGGCAGAGCCTTGGCTGGCCAGCTTGGGCTTCCCTGCAGAGCCGTGGCTGCCCCTGTCACAGGCCTGTGGGGGACAGAGGACCGGACAAGGCGGCTGTGGGAGGCTCTTGCGGTCCCAGGATTGGTGGCGCCCTCAGCTAAACCCAGGGCTAGCTCGCTGGTGGGGGACACCGGGGAAAGCCTTGGCCATGGGAGTGAATTTTCACGCTGTCTGTGCCTGATGGTTTCAAGTGTCACTGCTCAGGGTTTACCTATTTCAGAGAAGAGCCTTTCTAAAGCACCTCATAGGTTCTTCTGCCTTGTAACTGAGAGAACACAGAGAAGAATTGAGGTTTGTCTGTAATCCTTTTTGGTCTTGTTTAAGACCCCGCTGTTTCAATTTTGTTGTTGTTGTTAAGTTTCTCTCCTTTGCTGTCAGTCAGCACTCACTAGTTCTGACTTTCCCTTGTCTTCTCAAAAGCATCTCTGTCCCTTCTCCTCCTTATGTGCTGGGGGCTGGGGACTCCAGGGAACCCTGCCTGTAGGAATCCTGTGTTAAATAAGAGGCATCAGGTGCCAAACAAGGGCCAGTCAGACGCCACGCATTAGGGCTGGCACTCCGTGAGGGCCACTTGGCTGCTCTGAGATTTCTTTCTCCCTAGATTCTCTATCTGTGGCCCTGTAGAGATTATTCAGTATTCTGACCTCCCGATACGTGGGCCATTATACCCCCGATTAAGTGAAAATAACAACAAACAAGATACTGCAGCCTCGGCTTTCCTAACTGTGAAGTGGGGATGATAATTATCTGATAACCCAGGGTGTTCTGGGGCTGAACTGCAGTAATACTGATGCCAGCCGGGAGTGCCTGGTGGAGGAGGAGGGATGGTGGCAGGACCCTGTCATGTGACTGACAACGCGGAGGGAGGGGACGACACACAATGAGATGCAGGCCCCTCGCCCTCCCCCTGGAATGGAGACAACAGAAAGAATGAACTGCTCTGGACAAGACTGTGGGGACAAGACTTTTCGGGACACCCCGCCACGGCCATCTCAAGTCTCCACTTCGGTTCTCTCGCGGCTGAAATGGAAAAAAGGATGGGAAGAAAAAAAGCTCTTCCATCTCCCTTCCCTGCCTACCCTGGCGATGGGCCTTTCTGGCATAAGCCGCACTGGGCGTGGGTTGAGGGGGAAGAGAGGAAGGGACTCTGCCTAGGGGACTTCAGGCGTTTTGGTTTCATCGGCACAGAGAGGGCAGGAAGCCCCGTGCGGAGGGCTCTGAGGAAATGCATGAGCCCCGGTCTGGGGCGGGTTCGACATACTCGAATGTTTACCCGGCTTCAAGGAAGCCAAGAGTCTGGGATTGATTCACATTCATTTCAGGCTCAAGGTTAAAGACTCACAACCTCTTTTAATTTCACTCTCTCTTGCTGAACTCTGTGTCCAGGGTTCTCTAGCCCTCTAGGGAAACAAACACATGGAATATTCAGACAGCGGAGAGGTCTGGGCACCCCCCCAGAAGCAAGCCATTTTCTCGCCAACCCAAGGTTGCACTAAGTTAGTTACCAAAACGCTAACGAGGGGGTCCAGCTTCCCTTCTGTCCCTCCTCCTTCATTTCTCCCCCCTAAGAGATGCCAACGCCTCGCCCTAGCAGTCCTCAGAACCAGGAGTGTGAGGGGAATGTGAAGGGAAGAAGGGGTGGGAGGCGCCCTGTCTGGCCGGTCTGGTGTCCAGAAGGTGGCTGGTCCCGGTTAGGAGTTTGATGCTCTGGGCCTGGTGGGTTTGAAGGAGCAGGACCTTCACTCAGGAACACGGAGCCTGCTACAAACTTGCTAAATACAACGGAGTCTTGAGACAGGTTAGGAATTTGAGGGATAAGAGACGGGGGCTGTGTAGCTTGGCCCTGGATCCGAGAGCTGGATGCCAGTTTTGTCCTTGATCATGGATGGGCAGGCACCTTCTCCCCGGTTCCTGCCAGGCTGAAGACTCAAGCAGAGAAACAGCTTCCCTGGCTGTCTAGACCCCAGAGGACTGGCTCCTTTTCACTGGATGAGGCTGTGGCCATGGGCACTGGTTCCACCATGGAAATTCAACCTCTGTGGGCTCCAGGTCTGTGGGCTTGTCTGGGAAGTGGTGTGGGTGGTGGGAAAAATGAGGACTCTGGAGTCAGCCCTCTTGTCACTTACATGCTGTGTGATCTTGGCCAAGTCAGTCCACGTCTCTGAGCCTCAATCTCTTTCTCCACTGAATAGAGGTACTGGCAGATTCTCTCTTCGTATTTCAGTTGTGAGGTGTATGTGAAGTGAAGAATGTGGGAAATGTTTTCCAGGGCTTTGGAAAAATGTTAGTGAGGCTCAGGTGTAAGGCATGAGGGGTATGCCATTACGTTTCTGGGGGAAAAAAACTCGCTTTTGAGTTAGCCAGAAGAGGAAAGCAAGAGTGAACCAGAGTTCCCTCCCAGACATTCTGGATGTCATTCTGACCGGCCTGTCCTGTCCCCTCATGCATCTGTCTGCTTGTGGCCCTCTATCTTACAGTGGTGCTGGGGGAGGGATGTGTGATGTGCTGGGGGGGTGGTCCTCACCCCACGCCATGAGTTAGAAGTCAGCCCTGCACACACTGCCCTGCCCCAGGCCACTGTGGTCACTTTTGATAACCCAGGGACAGTGGTTTGGCTCCTTCCAGGGCACAGAGACCCCAGGTATTTTCGACTCAGCATGCACACAGCCACCCTCCTCTGCTGGAGAGTCCCTGGGAAGAAGGTTCTGCTCGGAGGAGGTGGAGGGGGTGCCCACCTCTCCATCCACCCAATTGGGGGACCCTTGTCTTTACTCCCCGGCCACTTGCTTCACACCCTGTGGGAAGAAAGCCTCTGGCTTCTGGAGGGGACCTGCATGGCATCTGGAAGGCCCTCGGAGTCCTGGGACCAGAGGAGGGGACGTGGTTATAGAAACTATTCTCACAGAGGAGGAACTAGGGGCTGTTTATTTAGGCTTCACATCGTGACTGTGTTGACCAAAATGTGTGTGTTGAAACCACAGAGGTTGTGATCCCTTTTGGAACCAGTACCCTTGAGCAGGGGGATGGTCAGGCTCTTTTTGAAACCCTCACACCCAAGAAAGGGCCCCAGAAGAGACCAGAATAACAGGCTGGAGTCTACAGTGGTCGGTGGGGATGTGGGATTCCTAGCGAGGCCTGACGCCTGGGGGAGAGGCAGGACGCTGGAGAGGAGTCACACTTGACCAGCCCCTGTGGGTCCTCTGAGAGAATCCCAGGTGGTGGGCAAGGCCTACAAACTCCTTCTCAAAGGCTTTTCCACAGGCGGGTCACCAGGGGACAAAGGGATTCATCTGGCCTGGAAGGAGACTGGCTGAGAGACAGAAGTGAAGGGCAGGCAGAAACGGGCAGTTCTCTCAAGGAAAAGTGTTGAGAACCAGTTGTCCCAGGACTGGCCTTACTGAACAGGTGTATAAACGACAGAAAATGTGAGCATGAAACTGCCAAGATTCGAGATGACTGTGCCCTTTCTTCTAGGCCATGAGAGTTAAGATGCGGGCAGAGCGAAGGAGAGGCCGCGTGGTGCCCGGGTGTGCTGAGAGCCCTGTCCTGGCCAGTGCAAAGGGCCTCGCTTCAAGAAAGAACCAGCTGGGACCTGGAGGCCACCGCCTGGCAGTCAGAGGGCCACAGGGACGCACGAGGCGTCGGGAGGGTGGCGGGAACTGAGGGAAAGGGTTCTTCCTCAGGTGGCTCTCCAGCCCCCAGCACAGGAGGCAGCGTGAGCCAGGCCAGAGCTCGGCTGACGCAGGTGAGGGCCTCCCTCTGAGGCCAGGGCTCTTGGGCAAGAAGAGGGAGAGGGTGGGAACAGAGTGTCCCCTGCCCCGGGAAAGCCTGGCAGTGATTTTCCGGTGACAGTGCCTCATGGGAACGTGACTCAGACACCACCTGCTCAAGTCCGGCCCTACTCCACCTTGGCCCGTCCGGCCTCCCCATTGCTGTGTTTTCGTGCTGATGAGTCAGCACAGGGGCTTCTCCCCTTTTCTTCATCCTTCCTGTCATCTTGCTGCACCCATGGAAAAGTCGTGGGATGTGAGCAGAGGCCACCAATAGCGCCTGAGGTCTCGGACGGCATGGTTCCTAAACCAGCATGTGGTCCTCTCCTGCTCAGTGGCAGAGGCTGTGATTGGGGGTTCTGTGCTTAGGACGGGGTTGAGGGGCCTGATAAACTATCAAGAGATGAGACCTGGGGTCTACGCCTCATCAAAGGAGCCCGGAGGCTGGCTGAGGGAACAGACAATCTGACGGACCAGACCGGGGCTCCCTGTGGAGACCAGGGAAGGGAGGCAGGTGGTAAGCAGGGACTTCTCGTTCCCTCTAGGGCCTGAAGCCATGGGTGTGCAGGAAGATCTAGACAAGGCCAGAGATGGGAGACCTGGGTCAGAAGCCGGAGGGAGGGAGGGAGATGATGGAGGGGGTCAGGGTCCCATGCTGCCCTCAGAAGAGGAAGGCGGGAAGCCATGGGTCAGACCAAGTCCCTTGGGCCTGCTGGTAGCCAGCCAAGATGTGAGCCCCATTGTTCTCTACCTGAGGTCAAGTTCGATGTGTCAGGAGCCTTGTCCCTTCCAGGAAGGGCTCAGGCCTTCAGCGTGCTCCCAGCCCCGCTGCAGGGAAAGCGTGTGTAAGGCAGCGGATATACAAGGGGAGAGGGGCCAAGGGCCTGAACCACGGGGCACAGGGCCTCCGGGCTGGGATCTCCTTGGGGGCCTGGTCTCCCTGACCGACTGTGACCTCTGACCTATGTGACTCTTCCTGGTTGGACCTCACTGGGGTTGGCTGTGACCCTTGAGAGCCTTTTCTTCCTTGACCCACAGTCACCCTTTGCTTGACTTCGACTGCAAGACTGGGACCTCCTGGCCAGCTCTGACCCTGGCCCTCGTGAGCCAGGCTTCTCCTGACTGAGGATGACCCTAGGCTGATTGGGACCCTCGTGCCCCCCAGCTGATTGCTCCCCCTTGGCCACTGTGACCCTGTCGTGGACTGTGACATTCGATCACTAAAACCTCTCTGACCTACAGTGATCCTATGACTGCCCTACACTTTTTGACCACTCGTGACCCTTGCGATCCCGACTGCCTGCTTATAACCCCTGACGCTGACCCCAGCCGACCCTGGCCCACCAAAGGACTGCCACCCCATGCCTGGCTGTGATCTGCTGACCACTGGGGACCCTCCTCGATGGTTTGGGCCCCTCAGCCCCATGGGCCTCACCACAGCCGGCTGCCCCCCCGAGTCCTTGGCACCCCGGCCCCTGCCCGCCTGCCCGCCCGGCGCTGGCAGCGTGGCACCCGAGGCGGTAAGGGTTCACACTCACGCCCAGCTGCAGCAGGAGGAAGGCTGGTCGGAGAGGAAAGAGCATTGGACAACGACACGCGACTAGGGCTAGAGAGATTGGCTACGTCCTGGCTCTGGCTGGTGACGGAGGACTGTCTCCTCAGGGCGCCCTGAAAGGAGGCCCCGCTCTTGAAAGTATTGACTACTTCAATCTGCAACGGAGGAGAGAGCGAGACAAGTTGCGAGGAGAACGGACATGACAGCCACACGACGGACAGGCGCGACGCCACGAGGACAGCCGCAGCCACAGGGACGACACGCCACATACACCAGAACGACGATACAGACACGCTGCAGGGCTCCCAGGACCCTGCTCGGCTCGGGCGCCTGGGCTCCCAGGGTGGGGCGGGGGATGCAGGGGCCCAGCTTTGGTCCTGCTCTAGTGGCCTGGGGGCTAATGGGCAGGGCCGGGGTTGGGGTGCTTGGAGGCAGAGGGGGTGCTCAGCCCCCGGGGCCAGGCGTGAAGCCACAGTGGTGTGGTGGGGACTCTGTAGTGGACTGTCCTTGGCCCAGACCCCGGCTCTGCCACTTAAGAGCGAGGTGATCTTGGGCAGTTTTTGGTCCTTCAGAAGGGGCAGTGCCACCTACCTGGCAGGGTTGCTGTGAGTGGCAAAGCACTGGCCCACTTAGTGGTCTGTAAGAGTCAGGCTGGATAGGACTCGTGCCCACTCAAGCAACTACAGTCCCGGTGTCATCCTGAAAGGCTCTGTGGCTGGGTTGGTGACCAGGGCTGTGTGCACTGAGAGTCACCAGGCCCTTGTGGGAAGGAAGGGTCGGGTCGGGCTGCCAGGAGGGCTGGCCACCAGCGTTCCAGAGCCCAGGCTGCTGTCTGTCAGGCGGCCCTGGGTCTGCCAGCTGCTCCCCGACCCAGCTCTCAGAAAAGGCTGTCTCCTGAACTTCAGTCCCCCCTAAAACTAGGGGGACATACCTACCACTTGGGGCTGGCAATGGGATGCTGTTTGGGACAGTGTCCTGTGGGTGTGAGGCAGCCCAAGTGATCTGTTTTTGTTATGCTGGATGGAAAGGCAGGGGTAGGCCACGCAGGACTGCAGCTCTGAGGTGGGGCCTGGAAACACTTCCCAGAGTGATGGGGTGGGGTGGCCATGAACCTGCCAGCACTGCTCTCTGTTTGGGCAGGAGACAGACCCTCTCTTGGTTGCTTGGTCCTGTGTTCCTTATCCCTCCTGGCTGTGAAAGCACACTGAAAACTGCAGCCCTGGCCCAGGGAGAGCTGTGTCGGGGCCGCACGGTCAGGCCATGTGTCACATGGGGGCCAAGCAGTCTCTGTTCTGGGGAAGAAACCTGCTTCTGACTGGATACAGACCCCACACATGTGCTCTGTGTATGTGTCCTTGGTGTGCACATGTGTGTGGTGGTGGAGGGGATGAGCTTTGCTCCCCAGAGCTGCCTTAATGCCCCATGGAGGCTGAAGGAGTGTCTGTGGAGGGAGAAGATGTGTGCGCATGTGCGGAGGAACCCCCACCTCAGGGCTGACCACCTGGCCTGGAGAATGGGGGCCCACCATGGACGGAAGCTGCCATCCTGGCCTCAAGGGACCAGTCTCTAGCCTTGCCTGACCCTTCTGGTGGCTGCCTGGAGCCCTGATCCAGATACCACCCCCAGCAACTCTGACAGGAGCTCCTCACTCACTTCGGCCCTCAGGGTCACCCCCTCCCCTCCTGAGGGGCACCCCCCCAACCCTGGAAGCCCACAGTGAGTGTGACCTGAGTCTGATCCCTCTCCAGGTGGAAGGGGAGGCAGAACATTCCTGAGGGGGCTGCTCTTTCTTCAGCAGCCCTGCAGAGTGTGTGCGGGGAACGTGGGTGCACGGGAGGCTGGTGAGATGGTGAGAGCAGGTCCGGATGCCCCCTTGCTCATCTCCATCACCACCCACCCCACCAGGGGCGAGCCCAGCCCCAGGAGCCTCCTGTACCTGGGTCTGGATCCGATTCAGGCCTCGGAACCACAGGATCTGGCCCCGCCGCAGCTCCCGCTCGGCGTGGTCTATCTCCTCCACGTCCTCGTTGAGCTCCTCCTCTGGGATCTCCTCCTTCTGCGTGAGCCTCCCTGCCTCCTTGAGGAACTTAAGCCTGCTGGTTGGGATGGTGGCGATGACCTGCGGGGGGCCCAGCCGTCAGGGGATGGGGGCTGGCCCTCAGTGGGCTGCTGCCTCCCCACTTCCTTATCCCCTTACCTAGTTACATTCAACTCACCCCTTAACTCATCTCACCCAATCCTCAACTCAGTCTTTAAATTTCCTTTTAATCTGCTTTTCACTTCACTCACTCATCCAGAGTCAAGAGGATATCCTGGGAAACCTTGGGAGCTGGACACATGTGACTTTGAATACCCGGCACCTTACTGGTTGTGTGACCTTGGGCAAGTCATTTAACCTCTCTGAACTCTGGTTTTCCCACGTGGGAAGCCGGGGGCAGCTCTCAGAGTTTGAGGATTAAGTAAGATGGTGTGTCTAAGTTGCTGGCGCTCGCAGCCTAGGCTTCAGGTCTCCAGCTCATTCTTCCTGAGGTCATTGGGTCCCGGGGTGCCCAACCCTGGGTAACAGGGGCCCAGGGCTTGAGTGCCCTGGGGGCAGTCAATCCTGGGACTCCTGGCATGGCTGCTCTCCCAGAAGGGAAGGCATTGTGGAAGGGGACGTGCCTTCATTCTTACTCTTCGTCCAAAAGGGCTTGTCCATGGGGCTGGGGCCTGAGAGGCCTGAGGTGGTAGAGGTCAGAGGCCCCTTACATTTCCTGTCAGGACAGACAGGGGCTGCCTGGACACCTGGCTTGGGGTTTTACGGTGGGCATTGCCCACTGGCATCGTCGTGAGGTGTCAGGAGTCTGCTCACCCAGATGCCGAGGGCTCCCTGAGGAGCGGGCCCCAGTGGGACAAAGACGGTCAGGCCCCAACGATGCCGAGGCAACGGTGTTGCTGAGTCCAGTCTAGTCCAGCTTCCTAAGAAGCTCCAAAGTTTAAAGAAGATCCTTTTGAGTAAAATTAAACTTTCTTCACCTTCTAGTTAATTTCTGCCACTGGGATTTCCCACTCTAGCCTGGGAACAGCTTGAAGGCAAAACCAGTATCCTAGGCCTGCTGGGCCCCCACTGCCTGGATCCAGCTCTGAGCACCATGTCCTGGTCAGGCACCTTTGCGCTGCAAGCTGTGAGTTCCATGATGGTGTGTACGCACGTGTGCAGGTGTGCGTGCCTGGAGCTTGGGCCCAAGTAGGGAAGGGAATTGGGGGGGAGAATGTTCCAGGGTCAGAGCTGGAAGGGCCCCTTGAGAGGCTCCAGCCTGGGGACCCTCCAAGCCAGGGAGAGTCACAGATGGCTGCAGACACAGCACTGTGATGGGGAAGGGCTCGCCAACTTACATTCCCTCCGGCCCTCTGAAGGAACAGGAATCTCTGCTTGGTGTCACACCACCTACTATACCTTTTATAACAAGCTGGCTTCAGGCTCTGCGCCTTGGCTGGTCACAACGTCTAGTTAGAGTTTAATAATGTCATTCTTGTTACTTTTTGTTTGTTTGTTAGCTTCTGTTTATGCAAGCGATAGTTATTTTCCAATCATGTCAGTAATATAAATTGCCTTTTGAAATAAATTTCAGTTAAAAAAGACAGATATGACTAAAAGAAAATATCAAGTAAACAATGGGATCAGCAGTGCATAGACGTGAGCAAAAATCACAGTATTTATACCCAAATGATCCGCATCTGAGACCTGGGCCGACTTCCATTGCTCTGATCCCGAGATGGGGGACCTTGTCTGGGGCCAGACAGCTAATCTATGGCGGAGCCAGGACCCATTCCTGGGGTTCCTGGACTCTTGTCCATAGCTGCTTCCCTTCCTCTGCTGAAAGGCACCTCCTGCAACCCACCCAGCACTTACCTGGCCCCAGACAAGCTCTCCTAGCCCGATGAATATGCACCACATCCACTGGTCCAGCTGCAGCGGAGAGCAGCTGAACGGCTTCCCTCCAAACTGCACGATCACTATCTGGAGGTCAAAGGGCACAGAGAGAGAGACACAGAGAAACAGGCCATCAGGGGCCAGCTCGGAGGGTCTGGGCTCTCAGGGTGCTGCTGGAGCTGCTCCGGCTGCCCAATGCCCACCGCCGCCCCACCCTGGCCAGGTTAGGGTGGGGGCCTGGCTACCTGGATGGCGAAGGTGCCCAGCACGATGGTGCAGAAGATGGGGTTCCGGAAGATGCCGTCGAAGACGTTGCGCTCGCCGTGGATCTTGCGGGCGTTGATCTCGTTGAAGAGCTGCATCATGACGAACGTGTTGAAGATGATGGTGTAGTGCTCGGAGGGTGGCGAGTGCAGGGGCGCGTTCCTCCCACTGTCGATCTGGAACATCTTCTCACCTGCCAAGCGAGAGGGCGGGAGCAGGCTGAGGGCCGGGGTTGGGGACGCCCAGCCCTGCATGGGGGCTTCTGAGCCGCCGGGTGGGTCACCCAGACGCAGGAGATGCTCTCTGGACTCTGGGGGGCAGGTGGGCCTGCGCTGTTGGGTGTAAGTGAAGGGGTGACAAACCTTTTCTCCTCTAGGGGAGAAAGGCCTTGGGTGAACTTTCTTCCACTTTTTCTGTGGCAATCTGATAAAGCTGGAATGCCAGCTGGTTACCAGGCTACATGGATTATAAAAAGCAACCCCTGGTTGGCAGACTCGTCTGGACCTGGAGGATTGGGTGTGAACTCAGAATACACGGTGGGAGGCCATGGCGTTGGGTTCCCCTGAAGGCGCTGCTGCTTGTAACTGCGCATGTCCTTACTGGGACCTCTGGAAGCCTGTGGGGCTCTTACAAGAGATACCAGTTCCTATGTGGAGGTTGGGGCTTCCAGGCAGGCTGGCTCTAGACCCGCTCAGGTGGCCTCATTCTCTTACACAGGAGCTGTCACGTGGTGGTGGGGACAGAGCCCTTGGGTTGCTGTGTGGACATCTGCCAATGGCAGGCCTGATAGCTGCGTGAGCTGGTGCCATGAGGGCTGGTGGTCTCACACTTTTCTGAGTGTGAGACGTCTAGCTGAATCCAGGAGCACCAGGAGTAAGCGCTTGAGTAGGGAAGCCGGCAAGGAAACCAGGAGCCCACCCTCCCCCCTGCTCCCCGCCTGACAGCTTTCTCTGCGAGGCTCTCCTACTTTTGTATTCCCGTAGCATCCTCTAAGGCTTTTCATGATCGCCTTTAAGACTGTCCTGCCAACACAAAGGAAGAGGACTGCCCTTTGAGGAACGGGATCACACCCCACCCCCATCTGTGCTCTGGACTTTGAGGGCAAATGCTTCAGGGAGGCTCATGTGGAGGGAGCCTGCCCAGGCTGGAGGCTCCAAGTGGGCCCCAACTTGCTGTGTGACATGGGCCAGACCCTGCCCACCTCTGGTCTCTCCGTGTGCTGGGGGTAGACTTTGCCTGGACCATTTCTGAAGCACCGTGGAAGCCAGGCCAGTCTTAATCCCAGCCAGACCTGGCTCTTGGTCCAGGTGCCTTCCCAGATGGGCTGCATGCCCTCAGGCAAGTCACCTTCCTTCTCTGTGTGGGGGTCCCTCACTGTCACGGGGGTTGGTGGCACAGGTGCCTACCTCATGGAGTGGCTGGAAGACCTAAACGAGGCAGCCTAAATAAAAGTGTTGTGGAAACAGCTGGCAGGTGGGCAGGCACATAGCTCTGTCCCAAGGAAGCCTTGGTGAGACTCCGTCTACCAGGCAAGAGTCAGAGAAGGGGCCATCACTCCCCTAGAACCTCAGGCTCCTGTAGGGCTGGCGTGAGGCCCCGCCTTGCACAGTGTGTGCAGTGTCCGGAGCTGTATCAGCGAAAAAAGCCCTGACTTTGGGCCTGGCTCTGCCCAAGATTTGCTGTGTGATCTTGAGCAACTAACTTCACCTCTCTGGGCTTCCATTCCCTCATTAGCAAACAGGCCGATGGCTATGAATCCCAAGCGCTGGGTCTGGGCCATCGTGGGGGACTCACCAACGAAGAGCAGGGTGAAGATGAGGGTGAGTTGGTAGACAGCGTGGCCCAGGATGTTCTTCATCATGGTCCGCGAGATGAGGGGCTTGTTGCGGCCGTACGGCTTCCTCAGCAGCAGGGTCTCGGTGGGCGGCTCGGTGGCCAGTGCCAGCGAGGCGAACGTGTCCATGATGAGGTTCACCCAGAGCATCTGCACGGCCTTCAGAGGGGAGTCCTGGGGACAGCAGGTGGAGAGGGCTGTCACTGGGGAGGCTGGCCCACTGGATGCTCCGAAGTGCCTGGCGTGGGGCTCATCCTTGGGGTGCCCAGCTTCCTGCTGGAGCCCTGGGGCCGGCTCTGTCTGTGGGTCTCCCTCGGCTGGCTGGCCCCCTGGGTTCCTGAGCAGGCACGGAGCAGGTTTGCTAGGCCTCTCCTGGAGAACAGCTCACATCTGCCCACTTCAGCCCTGTCTTCTTGAGCCCCAGGCCTGATGGGCACCAGTCCCCTGCTCAATCCCCATCCCTATAAATTTAGCCCCCTCCCCACCATCTTCCCTCCTCCCCTCCAGCCCCTGTGGCTGCGTTTCTTCTCTAGGCTAAGGTCAAGACACCCCCCACCCAAATGTCTCCAGCACAGACCCCTTTTCCTCTGCTTCCCCCTGCCTCTTTCCCCTCAATCATCAATGGCTCAGATCTCTCTTATCCCACAAACAATGCCTGGGCCCCTGTCCCTTTTTTAAAATACCACTCCATTTCTCTTTATCTCTTATCTTTACTTTAAGCAATTACCGTGTGTATCTGCGACTCAAAAAATAATGTATTTTCCTGGTTGAAAATTTGGGCATGTAAGGAACAGAAGAAGCTAAAACTCACCAAGGATCTCACTACTTATGGTCTCCCACCATCCACATGCTGGTGTGGATCCTTCCACACCTCTCTCTGGCTGAGACTGGGATCACATATTCATACTGTTCCATGCACCATTGTATCATGTGGTCTGTACTGCCTGAAGCTGCTGAATCCATGTGTCCCCCTTCTTCCTTGAACCCCCAAATTCTGTGTCCTTGCTAGCCAGAGTCTGGCCTCTCCATGCCTCCAAAATGCCCTTCTCCAAGGTTATCAGAACCTTCCTTGTCACAAATCAAGGATCCTTTTCCAGTCTCATATCACTGACCTCACCATAGTGTCTGGCTACTGCCTCCCCCTGCACCCCTGACCCTTCTCCTGGTCATCCTCCTCTCTAAACATTCCTTCTCCAGCTGCCTCAGGGTTCCTCTTCCCCTGCCTTTTCAATCTGTGCTCCTCGCGACCCCTTCCTCAGCCTTGCCCTCCTCTCTACATCTGTGCCCCCAGCTGCAGGTGCCCACTTCTGCCCCACATCACCCTCCCTCCAGTCCAGACCTCTCCCTGTGGCTTTAGCCTCGTTCCCCAGTGGAACACCTCCTCCACGAAGCCCACAGACCCTATACACCCAACAGCCTGGACTGAGCTATTCCTTGTTCCTCTATCCTCTCAGTGTGGCTCCTGAGGCCACTTGGCTTACACCTTATACACTCACCCAACTCCTAGCTGTTTATCACAGTCCCTCCTCCAGGCCATCCCTCCCACCTCTGCCTGGCTCAGTCACACTCCCTGTTCCCTCAGTGTCTTCCTACCCATTGGTCTCTGATTACATGCCCTGTGGGGTCAGGGCCCCTAGCTCCCCACCAAGGCCTTCACAGCCCTGCTACCAACTCAGTCCTAGACCTCAGGCAAGATAATCCTCTCTGATCCCCTGTCTCCCCATCTGGCATCATCTGGTCTCCAAGAAGCCTGGTGTGAGGCTGTGATCGGAGTGTCTCACCAAGCCACCACTAGATGGAGCCTCTTGGCCACCGACAAGGAGAGAAGGCCCCCTGAGCAGAAGGGATGGCCCCTCCCCCAGGACTCTCAGGGCTGGGGTGCTGGGCCCTCCCATGTGCCTCCCCAGGGGCTCAGAACACAGCAGATGGGAGCAGCATTCCCAGGGCCACACAGCTCTTCAGGGCAGGGCTGCCTCCGGGCCTCTGGGGGCTCCTGTGGGCAGGAGCTTGTCTGCCCACATGGTTGCTGGGAGGGGCCAGGCTGGTCAGCCCTGGGGAGACGCAGGAGGCGATGGCAGGTGCCTGGCTGGCCCATGTGCTGAGCTGAGCCTCAGTGTCTGCCTCTGTGAAATGGGGATCATCACAGTTCCTGCCTCATGAGGTGGGCGAGGCGACACTGAGGGAGGCTGCCGATGCTGGGGACTGCCGGTCTGCTCCGCAGGGCTCAGGACATGGGGCTGCTAGAGGCCCAGATGTGGAGGCTGGACACACTCCTGCCTCTCCCTGTGACGGAGTCCCGACTCCCTCCTGCTGCCTCCGCCCCTCCTTGGGAACCCAGGCAGAGGGGCCTTTCCCCACACGCTCCACGCCAGAGTGAGGCTCCCAGGGCCCTGCCAGCTCCTTGACCCCAGCTGGCCTCCTGTCCTGCCCCTTCCTCTCTCTGGCCCTTTATGTGGCCAGGGACCCTGCCTTCCCTCTAGGATCACCTCTCCTGCCTCCCGAATCACCTCTCCTAACCTGTGCCTGGGTTGGGCAGATGTGGAGGTGAGGCCTGACATCAACTGCTAGGTGATCTTAGGCAAAACCCACCAACTCTCTGAGCCTCCTTTCCTGTACTCAGTGGGGCTGGCACCTGCCCTGAGCTCTGTGATGCCAGTCCTGGCCCTCCACGTGGAGGTACGGCAAAATAGAATGCCCTACATGGGTGTCCGCCCACCCCAGGCTTCAGCCTGCTCTGCCCCACCCCACCTAGGAGGACCCACCTGCGTGATGCAGGCGCCCGTGAAGGCCACGATCACAGCCACCACGTTGACTGTCAGCTGGAACTGTAGGAACTTGGAGATGCTGTCATAGACGTTGCGGCCCCACATCACCGCCTTGACGATGCTGCTGAAGTTGTCGTCCGTCAAGATGATGTCGGAGGCCTCCTTGGCCACGTCTGTGCCTGCGATGCCCTGTGGGGATGGGGACAGGAGCCTGGGTGGGGCGACCGGAAAGGCGAGCAGCTCTAGCGACACTGTCCTCACCCTTACACAACCCCCCGCATACGCACACACCCACCACCAGCACCGCCAGACCTTACGGGACACGCGCATGTGCACACACACGCACACTACACCCCTGCTCCTCACAGAACCAGCCCTCAGGCCAACCCTCCGCCTTCAGGAAGCCTCTCTCTGGCCCCTCCACTCCGTCCCTCTCCCTCCCTCAGACCCATCACTGTAGGAAGCCCCCTCTACCCTTCCAGGAAAACCCAGGGGCCAGGCTGAGCCTCAAGGGCCCTGGGCACATCAGGTGGACAGAGGGAGGGCTGGGTGTGCACTGGGGGGCTGTGCCACTGGCTTGAAGCTGTGTGGCCCATGTCCCCTAAACCCCCTGCCTGCGAGCTCCTGCCAGATGCTGCCCCAGGCCCCCAGAGAGCTCCTACCATGGCGAAGCCCACGTCAGCCTTCTTGAGCGCAGGCCCATCGTTGGTGCCGTCTCCCGTCACGGCCACCACCTGCCGCTGCTCTGTGTGTGTGCTGTCGATGATGCCTGTGGGCGGGGCAGGCGCATGCTCAGGGCCCTGGGACTCTCAGTGGTGCAGGGGCAGCCCCAGTCAGCCCCGCTCCTCTGGAGGGCCCCAGGCAGAGCACAGCCACCTCTCTGACCCCTGCCCAGCCCCAGGCTTGCCCACAGCTCCCAGCACCTGCAGGGGATGTGGGGGCCCAGAGCTAGCTAGCTTCAGCCCTCCGTGCTCTGGGCCTGTCACCTCTCCAGCATCCTCTCTGTCTCTGTAGCCTGTGGCCACACCAGCAGCCACCCTGGCCAGACTCCCCTCCCCTCTGCCTGTACTCCAGGAGTGCCAGGGTTTGGCTGGGGACCTACCATCGGCTCCCCCAGCACCTTCTCCCGGGGAGGGCCAGTCGCACCCAGACTTTCATCCTCAATAAAATCTTTAGCAAAAAATAGAATGAACAGATGACACGTGGCCCCTGTCACTGAACTGGGGCAGTGGAAGAGGGCAGGTGAAAGAAGTTGTCACTGGGTGCGTCTGGAGTTTGTGGGGCCCCAAGCAGAGGTGTCCATGGCAGGACAGAGGTTTGATTGTCAACCCTGACACACCCCTGTCCTGTTCCTCATATCAGGTGCATCATTTGGCCCGCGGATGCCGGCTCCGAAATTCCACTGGGATCCTTTCACTCCTCTTGGCCTCGATCCCTGCCACACTAGCATCTCCACGCCCGTCTCACTAACCCCGGGCTCCCCCTCCAATCTGCACAGCACCTCCCGGAGCTTTCTCTCCTCTTGAGTCTGAACCCACCCCAGGACCAGCTGAGAGTCGTGCTTTTGCTGCCCCCACCTCCCCGGCCCCAGGATGATGCCACATTCTTAGCCCCGCCCACGTAGTCCTCCGTGGTCAGGCCCTGCCCACTCTCTGGACTCTTCTCTTGCCCCTCAGTCTGTGCTTCTGCCATGGGAACCGCTCCTGGTCCCACGGGGCTGGCCGCTTGCCCCTGTCTGTGCAGAAGCTGTTCCCTGGGCAAGCTGTCCTGTCACCCACCTAGAGTCCCAGCTTGGAGGCCACTTTCCCTGGGAAGCCTTGGTGACACCCTGAGGACCCTTGCCCACCCTAATCACATCTCTAGCTCCCACATACGTGTCCTAACCTTGGCACACAGCAGCAGCCTCTGGGATGAGGGAATGAGTTCCCTGATTTGGGGCGCTGTACCCCCAACACCCCTCTCCCTCCTGCAGCTCTCAGCTGTCAAAATTCCAGCCCCTCCAAGGCCCAGCTCCAGGGCTTGTGCTCTGGCAGGCTTCCAGCTGCTCCAGGTAGCTGCTCCAATGCCTCGCAATACCCAGTCTCTGTCCACTTGGCATTTGAGGACAGGAAAGTTGACTCCTGGGGCTGGGGACCTGCCCAAGGTCACAAGGCAGGTCGGTGGCAGAGCCAGGACTTGAACCCAGGCCTGTATGACTCTAAAAGTGCCCAGCATCGGGTCAGCTAGGTGGGCTCAGCAAGGGGTGTGCCCTCTCTCTGAAGGGAGTCAGGGAAGAAGGATGCTGGCTTTTGGCCTCATTTCTCAGGCTGCTGTTCCCAGGACAGCCTGTCCCTGGAGTCTTGGCTACACCTATTGTTGGCAGCCACAGAGATCAGGCAGACAAAGGGTCTCAAATTCACAAGTCCTGGGGCCAGACTGAGAACATAAGTAAAAGAAGGTGGCTGAGTGTCAGACAATAGTGGTGAAGATGGCATCAAATGGGAGTAGGCAGGATCTGTATGCAGTCATTCAAACTGAACGTTGAAAAAAGACATACCACCCAAATAAACATGTCTGCGGGCGCCGTTCAGCCCTCAGGCCAGGAGTTCTGGCCCCTGGATAGGCAATCCCATTGCTTCCTATGGGAGGTGGGGCCCTGGGAGAAGGTTCATCACCTCCTCCCTCATCTCACTTTTACGAGGCCTCCCAGGGCTGCAAAGAAGATGAGACAAGGGCATCCCTTGGTGTAGGGAGCCCCAGGCAGGAGCCCCTTCTGTCCTGGAAAGAAGCTGAAGGCACCAGGACAGGAAGGCCCGGGAGGTCTGATGCCCGGGCCTCAGAGCTGAGCGTGCCCGTTCAGGTCTTACCTTTGACCAGGGTATGCTTGTCCGTGGGGGAGGAGCGAGCCAGCACCCGCAGCTTTGGCCAGATCTTGTCGATTCGCTCCTGCTCAATCTGGAGAGGGATGGGGGAGGGGCGGGTCGGTGGGGTCGGGGAGAGAAACTGAGGCCCAGAGAAGGGAGAGGACTTGCCTAGAGTCACTGGGCTCTTAGTGGCACACGGGCTGGTGTCTGCACCATCATGCATGCCCGTGCCTCCCAGCCCCCTTCTAAGCCCAGCCCAATGCGGACCCTTTGCACTGGGCCACGTACCTCCCCTTTCTCATTGCGGATTCTCCGGTTGAACTCTTTGCCCTCGAGGCAGAGGAAGTCCTCCCCAGGATGGATGATGCCACATTTGATGGCAATGGCCCGGGCTGTGTTGATATTGTCACCGGTGACCATGCGGACCGTGATGCCTGCTCGCTGGCACTTGCGGATGGCTTCCGGGACCTGGGCAGGAGGGCAGGAGCCATGGAGTAGGCATCACCTTGGGCAGGCCCTCCCTGCCCTCATGGATTCCCGAGTGAGCCCTGCTCACAGGCCGTGCCACTGTAAGGGGCCTTGCTGACCAGGAGATACTCATGGCACACAAACCATCTCCTCCCTTCCTGTGCTCATGGCAGGCATTGTTAATCAATTACAGCAACTTCTGATTAAACCCTGATGTGGTCTCACAGTCCCAGGCAGCCACTACCATCAGTCATGGCAGTTCATCCTAAGACAAAACCATTGGCTATCCTGACCTAGGTAAGGACTTTGAGAAAGACCCCAATAAATACCCTCTCAGATATGGTCCCAGACAGGAGTACAGAACACTCCACTACTGCACAGGATCTGGTCCCTGCTTTCTCCACATGCACATTTCCTGCAATAATGATAAATATGTTCGTGTATTTTCAGGTTTTTTTTTTAGGTGGAATTTGAGGGCATTTTATTTAGATAATGTGACACTCACTTAGAATAAATGCAAATGATTAGGCTTCGTGTAAAACATGACATTTCCCTGTGACAGTTCTTACTGCCTACTGCCCTCTCTGTAATGATGGACAGAGGTCTGGGCCAATTAGGCCAGAGCAGACTGAGCCAGTCAGAAGCCAGCCAGCCACTCCCGCCCCGCCCCCCCCCAACAGCCTCGCCTCCACCTATGTGGAGCTGGGGATTTGCCCAGCAGTTAGGATGCAAAAACCAACCTGGAGCTGCTGTGGCCTTTTACACACAGCACAAATCAACTGAACAGGTGATTCTTACCCATGGGCAGTGACAAATAACAAAACAATAAGGCAGTATTTGCTGCAAAACATCCTTCAGTGGGAAAGGACATGTCAAGGGCAGAAAATCCAGTAGTAAAAGACCAAAGTACTTTAGAATCTCAGACTTAAGGGGACAGAAGTCCAACCCCCCTCCTCTTGCACATTCTGGTGTCTGGGAGCTCACCTCCACCCTTACTCTGACAAGCCATAGCTGAGAGAGTTAGAAGATGCTATGGGTTGAATTGTGTTCCCCCAGAAAGATACATTGAAATCTTCACTCTCAGTACCTCGGAATGTGCCCTATCTTGGAGACAGGGTCTCTGTAAAGGTAATCAAGATAAGAAGAGGCCATTAGGGTGGGCCTGAATCCATTGTGACTGGTGCCCTCATGAAGAGGGGAAATTTGGACAGACACACACACACAGGGAGAACATCACAGGAAGATGAAGGCAGAGATCGCGGTGATGTGTCTACAGGCCAAGGACCACCAAAGATGGCCAGCACACCACCGGAAGCTGGGGGAGAGACCTGGGACAGAGCTGCCCTCACAGCCCTCAGAAGGAACCAGCCCTGCAGACATCCCGATGTTAGCCCTCCAGCTTTCAGAAACGCAGGACAATACAATCCTGCTGTTTGTGGCACTCCGTTACAGCTGCCCTAGCAAATGAATACAAAGAGAACGTTTGTCCAAAGCCTGATTGTGGACAGCTTCTGCCCGCTAGTCCCCCTTCTGCACTCAGGAACTTTAAGAACAAGGACTGACCTTGAAAATATCTCACCTCTGTCCACCCCCTGCCCACAGCAGCTGCAGCTCCTTGAGCCCCAAGCACCACCAGCTCAAGCAGGGGTCGCTGCCCAGTCTCCCCGCCTCTGGGCCTGCCCCTCGTCCATCTTGCCCCTCCCCTGACCACCAGCCACCTGCCCAAAGTTCAGCCTGTGTGCTGCTGTCTTTCAGGGCCTCCCCCCTGCCGCCTGCAGAGAAAGTCCTTCCTCCTGAGCACGGCCATCCTGCGGTGGAGTGAGAAACAAGTGCCGGGGAGAGGCAGGGTCCAGGTCAGGGTAGGGAGGCCTCTCAGCTCCCGGAGGTCTCCAGGAGACCAGCTCTGTGGTGGCAGGTAGTGGTCTCCCTGTCGTTGAAGGGCTGGAGTGGGGCCAGCTGACCACGGGCCTCCTCTGGGTGTATTTCCAGGGTCTGGGGAGGAGCTTTCCGGTGCCCACTCAGGGCTTGGGGCCACGTGAGCAAGGCCTCTGCCTCGTGCCACAGCGGCTGCTCACACAACCAAATGTGACCTCTTTTTGCAGAGCCGGAGGGAGCGGGAACGTGGACCGTCCAAGATCCCGTTTACATAATCGGTCGATGTCCTCACAATGGCCGTAACCCGGCTGTGGCCCCTGCTGTCTCCCACCCCAGAGGACAGGAAAGAGCCGCTATTCTTTCGGGAGCACACACCTCATCTGGCTCCTGCCCTGAAAGGAGTAATTTAGGTTATGCGTGTTTCAAAGATGCTTGAGGTCTTGGAGTTGGGACTGTAGGTCATGACCCTGATCTTCTGCTCATTGCCTAGATCTCCTCCCAGGCATCCCTGACAGATGGTCAGAGAGCCTCTGCTTGCATGCCTCTGATGACAGGGTGCTCATCGCCTCTCAGACTGACTGTTCTACGGTAGAACAAGCCTACTGTATCCTTGTACATAATTGTTCTTTTTTTAGATAAGAGAATAGTTACTCTGGGTCAGATCTATTCTCTTGCACAGGGTCTTTGTTAAAGATCTGTACAAAGGGCTCTGAGAGCACAGAGGAGAGCATTGTTACTTTAGAAGGAAGTGCGTGGGGAGGGGAAATCTGTAAGAGCTTCCTGGAGGAGGGGGTGTTTGAGCTGTTTCTGTTTAGCCAACACTGTGCCCATGCTGGGGCTGCCAACATGACCACTACATTGTGGTCCTGGCTACAAAGAACTGTCCCAGGAGGTGCATGGGCAGAGAAGGGGAGGGCGCTGCAGACAGTGCTGCAGGTGATCTGGAGAGCTGAGACCCCGGGAGGATGTGGGGTGGGGGCCAGTGGCCATGGAGCTGGAGAGGGGCTTGAGGTTCAAAGGCATGGGGACCAGAGCCTTGCTCCTTCAAGCCTAGGAGCCCTGGCAAGTTCTGAGCTGGGAATGAGGGGATGGGTATCATGTTTTAGAAAGACTTCTGCTTTTAAGACTGTCTCAGGGAGCTGAAATCTGCCTGCTTGGAATCCCCATCCTCTGGGCTTCCCTGGAACAAGCTGGCTTGGGAAAAAAGGAGGCAGCTAATTTTTATGGCCCCACGCTTTTCTCTGTGCAGTGAGTGGAAGCATCTCTGCCTCGGGGAGAGAGGGCTCAGGGACCAAAAGGCTGGGCTGGGCTGTGCCCCGGGCTCTCATCTAAGCCTTGGTTTCCTCATCTGTAAAATGGGATGATAGTTCCTGCCTCTCATGGAGGGTGGAGAACTGAGTGACAAGGGCAAAGGACACCAAGCTCAGGGCCAGCACATGCTGGTGTTGAAGGTATGAGGGAGACTCCCTTGTCTGCTCTTTCTGCTCCAGGGCCGGTGCAGGGATGCAGGGGAGGGTGCAGATGCAGACGCCTGGGGGTGGGGTGCCGCAGGCATCTGAAGCACGGGGACGAGCAGGTATATGGGTGGTGGGATAGGTGGGTGCCCCCCCCACAACTCCTGGGTCAGGTGTCTTTAGGGTCCTGTGACCTGCCTTGAATGGGGGGGCATTTGAGGCAGACCCGGAAACGCCTGAGGAGTCTCCCCCGGCCACTGGGAGACTCTCCACTACCTTTCTGGGCAGTGCTCTCTAACTGGACGTCCTCGAGCTTCAGTCCTGTCCAGCTTTATGCTCCCGTGAGCCACGCATCTACGAGTCCCCCCACCAGATGCTTCTCTAGGCTGTGGGTCTGGAGGGCGGGGCTGCCGGCCGCTAGGAGCCCTGGCAGGGGTCTGGCCCAGGTAGGTGCTCAATCAGCTGGGTCATCGTGAAACATCTGCGCACTTAAGTCCGTCAAAGCCTGACCTGGGTGGATGGATTTGGACGGGGACATGCAAACCTTTTACAATTTAGCTCCACGCTCCTTTCCAGCCTTTTCTCTCATAATCCCAAACACGTGGCATCCTTTCCCACCTCCTGGCCTTGCCGGTGCTGTCCCCTCTGCCTGGGATGCCCTCTCCCCTGAATCTCTGTGTGTCACCAATCTTTCCCATCTCGCAAGGGAAGCACTCTCCGCTCAGGAAGCCATCCATGCCTGGTCCCTCCAGCCCAGCAGGACACCTCCTGCAGCTACTCAGCCTCCCTTTGATCGCTTCCCTCATTTATCTGTGGAACAGCTACAAAACTGCGAGCTCTTCTGGGCAGTGAGGATGTGGAGAGGATGAAGCCTCAAGCCCCAGAAGCACTGATCTGGCTGAAATGTGCTTTCCACATGGATAAAATAGCTGTGAAAAAAAAACCCACCCTTCTTTCGCTAAAATTATCCTAGATATTTCTCGCTGAGGAAAACCAGCCAGGAAATGGGAGCTTCCTGTTTTCATTAAATAAAGGCTTTTCAACATCTGTTGTTTCTGGTGACAACAGTTGTCGGTGACTCCAAGGGCTCCAAACAGCCCCGGGTAACCCAGCAAATCCCAGGCTGCGAGTCTCCTGCCGGCTCTGTCCTCACTGGCTTCCATCAGCCCCGGAAAACGTACCACAGAAGTGTTTTGGGGGGCCAGGGAGGGGTTGGCAAACCTAGTTTTATCTGTTCTGTCCTTTGTCTTCTCAAGGGAGGAAGTGAGCTTCTCCCCTGCTGAGAGATGGGGAAACTGAGGGAGGCAGGGTTTGCTTTCCCGTGGCAGCTGCAAACGCATCAGACCAGGCTTGTAGGACCCGAGGTGGTCCAGGCTGGGGTTTCACTCCAGCCGGCCTCACAGGTGTCCTGGGAACTTGGCACAGACACACTTACTGTAGCAGAGACGCTCCCCAAAGTTCACTCTGAGGTGGGAACCGAGGCCTAGGGGTGTCCTGGGGCGGTGTACCTCACCCTGTCTGTGCTACTGTACTGTCTGAATTTGGCTCCACGTGCATACATCACCTGGGCTAAAACAAACCAACCACAACCCATACCTGCCAGTCTTCTCCGGTCCTGCATCCACCCCCGTCCCACTGGGAGATGCCGAATCCACAGGCCAGAGCTTTAATGCTTTCAGGTGGTGTCACTGGTCACCCATGCTGTGCCCCTCACTTGTGAATGTCCAACTTTCCCATTGTTCAGATGGGGAAACTGAGGCCCGTGGTGGAGCTGCACCTGAGGTCTTCTGTGAGGGAGCGGCACAGGCGGGATCAGAGCCCACGTCTCTTGACTACGGTGTCACTCCAGTGAGCCCCTGCCCTCCAACACAGTTACACCCCCCAAATCTACGTCCCAGGGCTGAGCTAAGGGGAGAGAGGAGGTCACCAACAAGGACTGCTGACCGACGGAAGAAAAGAAAGGCATGTGGGTAAGCCTCCCAGTCAGCTGGCTCAGAACATCAGACCTGGACAGGACCTGGGAGGCACCTGGGCCAGTCGCCCATTTTACAGATGAGGAGGACTGAGGCACAGAGAGGAGAAGTGGCTTGTTAGCGGCAGAGCTGGGGCTGGGCTCCAGGTCCCCTTTCTCCGATGTCGGATGAATGTGCTTCCACCCCTGCTGGGTGACAGCACCCCACTCCCAGAGACTGTGCCCGAAGCCAGCTCCTCAGATGATCTTAGTGTCATCAGAGACCTAGCTCAGCCCTCTCAGGCCCTCTCTCCTCTCCTCACCCTCCAGACTTACAGCGACTTGCCCTCTCATTCTTGTGGTACCCAGGAGGAGGTCCCAGATAGGAAGGCAAAAATCTGTTCTAACCTGGATTTGCTCAGCCACTTACAGCGAGACTTTGGGAACCTCAATGCCCCTGTTTGGGCCTCCGTGTTTTCTTCTGCAAATAGGGAGTGTGGGAGGGTGTTTGGACTAGATCAGCAGTTCAAGTCATGCCCCTCTAGTGGACTGTGAAATCAGTTTCATGGGTGGTGACCAGCGTTTAAAAAAATAGAAAGGAAGAAACAGAAGAGAACAGAAAATAAGCACATCACATTACTTTGTGAGAGTTATCTTGGTTAAGTGTGTGTGTTTGCTGAGTCATGACATAAAATACATTTCTTATTATTGGGGGTCATGGCCCAAAAATGTGTATTTCCAACACCCCCTCCCACCCCACCTCCAGGTGATGAGGCAGGAGCTTGAGCGTAGGGGCTGGAGAGGGCTCTGCGGATGCGAAGGACAGGGGAGCCGCAGGCCAGCCTTGCACACTGAGTATCTCCATCGCCTGTAAGGAGATAACACATCACAGCAAAGCCCCAACCCGTTAGCAGCTGGTAACGAGCGGGTGTCGCACAGGGAGGCTGATAAACAGCCTGTGTATCCTGGGAGAGGTGCTGTCTGCAGGAACACGTGTATGGGCTCTGGTGCCAAGCACCGGGCGTGTTAATTGCCTTTGCTGTTTTAGGCTTTGGGTGGGAGTGAAGAGGCGTGCATGCGTGCGTGTGTAAAATACTATTATTACCCTCAGTCTTCAGATGAGGAAATGGAGGCTCAGAGAGGTTACGTAACTGGACCAAGGTCACACAGCTGGTAATGCTGGGACTCAGGATCCCAGGTCTATCCGATGCCCAAGCCCACACTCTTGACCCCTCTCCCTACTGCCTAAATGTGAAAGTCCACGTCTGTGACCTTCAAATTCCACTTGGTCTTTGGAAGGCAGAATCTTCTAACATCAGGGTCAGGATTTGGGGAGCATCTTAACCTACACACTTTCACTTGAAAGACGGGGACATGGAGACTCCAAGAGGAGCAGAGAATGGCCCGAGGCCCCCAGAGAATGGTGTCAGCGTAAGTGGGGAACATGAGAGTTGTCCTTGGTGGAGGAAGGTGGCCCCAAGGGGCAGCATCACCAAATTTCCACAGCCAAGGCTGACCTGGACCCAGCAGTCTTCAAGGACATGGAGGCTGGTCCCTCCTGTGCCTTGCCTCCACTCCCTGGCTCTCCCTCTCTGCCCCTACAGTGAGCCCCCACTGCAGTGTTCTGGAGATTCAGGATAGCTCTCTCCTCTTCCTACCGCCTCCTTCCAGCCCTGGGCAGCCGATACCACGCCCGTCCTATCCTCCCTCAGTCCTGCAGATCCCCAGCACTGAATTCTCAGGCCTCCCCCAGATGCAGATTCAGCTGAAGGAGGATGAAATTCCCTAGGTGTGCTCATTACATCTCTTCACTTGATTCTTATGGGGAGGGGGTGCTGTCACCCCCCCTTCCCTTCTGCTTGAGAATTTGACCTTTGGTTAACTTTCTAGCTCTGTTCCCCTGGAAACCTGATAAAGGAAGACTGCTGGCTGCGTCACTAGGGTAAATTAATAGGTAAACTAGATCTGGTTGGGGAGAGCTCCAAATGCTGATGGGGACACACACTCAGGCTTGGGGCCTTCTTGAATGCAGTGACCTCTGTTACTGGGTGTCTCCACTGCAGGCACCCTGGAATCTGGGCCTATGGATTTGTTACAGGAGATCCTGGCTCCTGTGGGGCAAGAGGCTTCTGGGCAGGGCAGCCCCCACGCTTGTCCCTGGGGCCCCAGAGGGAAGGTCTCTGGGTGGTTGGGTGGGCAGAGCAACGCTGCCTGGCAGGCCGTGGGCTCTGGCCCATGTCTGGAGCAGACAAGTGCGCTACGTTGGTCTTTAGAGTCTGAATGTTTAGGAGAAGGTACAGAGAAGACCTTGGGGTCTTGCAGGGAAACGGAGGCTCAGAGGGGCGAGGTGACCTTCGCCAGGTCACCCAGTGGGCTGCATGGCCCACCTCGCCCCCTCCCCTGAGCTCCATGGCTGGGCACCTACCTCAGGCCGCACGGGGTCCTCGATGCCCACCACGCAGATGCAGGTGAGGTCACTGAGGATGTCATTCTCGTTGTCCCAGTCGGGCTCGGGGCTGCTGGGGAAGTCGCGGTAGGCCACGCAGATGGTGCGAAGCCCGTCACAGGCCATGGGCTCAATCACCTTCTTTACCATCTCGTCCCGGTCGCGGGGCCGGAAGACCCGGGGCTCACCAGCTCCGTTGAGGATTTTGCAGCACCTGCGGGAGGGGTGAGGGGGATGGGTAAGGTCCAGCCAAGCGCTCAAGGGCTCACCCTCTGACGGGCTCAGAGCTCACCCCCACCTCCCAGTGATGCCCCGCTGGCCGTGGTCGGTCACCTAGGGCCCGTCCAGTCCATCTACCGTAATTCTTCAGGAATGGTCCTGCCCTCTGGGCCCCAGGCAGTGATGGAATCAGGCTGAGCCAAAAAGAAATCGGGTGGCCTTGTTGCAGTATGCCCCCTCCAATTCCGTAAGACCAGATCTCCTTTGATCTGTTTCATATTTACTAGATTTCATCTGGAAAAAACAGTTCCGCAGCTAAAATGGTTTTCAAAGGGCATAAAACCCAGGCTAGCGGTTCCTGACTCAGCCAGCACATCAGAACGGCTTGGGAGAGCACTGAACAAACTCCCACCTGCGAGCCTCACACCAGAGGTTCTAATTCAGTTTGTCTGGGGGTGAGCCCAGGAAACAACGGTTTTTAAAAAGCTGCCTGGGGTGATTCCAGAGTGTGACCAGGGTTGAGTCCCCTCAAGGTACCAATGGGGAAACTGGGGCCCAGAGAGGGGGTGTGCCTTGCTTCTGGCTAACAATGAAAATAGAGACAACCAAGTCCATGCTAAGGGAAGGGGAACCAGGGAGATCTAACAGGGATGGATAATGGGTAGAAGTTCCTGAGATCCAGTGATCTAGGGAGGGGAAGAGGGAGGACTCCCTGCTGGCAGGAGAATTTAAGAGGAAAGAGAAGTTGCAGCACAGGGCGAGGAAACACACAGGTGGTCTTGCTGGGGGACGCCATTCCTGCGCGCCCCCTCGCGGACCCCTGGCTCCCTGGCCGCTTACTTCTTGAGCACGATCTCAGAAGCGCCCTTGCTGTACATGCGGAAGCTCTCGTCCGGCATCTTGATGACGGTGCTCATGGACTTGCGCACCGAGTTGAAGGTATACACCTTGTACAGCTTCTCCTCCGGCATCTGGCTGCGCACAGGCTCATAGTCCTGCTTCAGGTCCAGCACGAAGCCCAGGAGGCCACACTCC